TTCCGCTCCTTAGGGGGGCGGCAGCTTCAAAAAGGTTGAGAATCACTGCTTTATACAATTCAATGAATATTGTGTATCTAGTGTACAAAGGAAATTAAATCCCAGCTTAGCAGACTTAAAACCTTGATATGGTTTCAGTACAGGAAGTCTTGCAATAGTTCCTTAACTTTATTTTCCAGATTTTGTTGTTTAGATGTTTTCTTTTTCCACATAAGCAATAATGCAACCATGAATATATGCTTTAAAAGCATCCAAACAATTGTTACATTTGCAGGATATCTATGTATACAAAAACATCTTCAAAGTATTTTTTTATCCATTAAGAAAATGTGAATTCTTTAGTAATGATCTATTTAAGAGCACCTTGAAAAACTAGGCTGATTTATCCTTGAACTTGTTTGTAATGAGCCTCTTTTAGCCACAGCTTCTGGCTGGCTCTTTACGGATCCAGGCACCATACAGAGACCCAAATGAGGCAGCCTGTCTTCACTTGGGTAAAAAGAAGCAGGTGAGAGTTTAGATTCAGAATGGAGAGAAGAGGAGGGGTGGCCAATGGGAAAGTCTTAAAAACACCCAAGAAGATTGTGGGAAGACAGAGGTGATGCCTGGCAGCTAAAATAGACTTAAGATGGATTGCTGCTTTCAGTGATCCAGTGTCTATAGTGCTGAAGGCTCATTAGATGGTGAGTTGTCCAAGTCCACAAAGCATTTGAGGGCACAATCTGGGGGAAGAGCGCTCAAGAGGATGAACGTTGCCATGGGACAAATTACCAAACACTGCAGGGGGCACAGTGGGACACCAGAAGAATGACAAAAGATCAAAGACATTGCCTTGTCAAAGGATCACCACTTCAGGTCAACACTGACAAGAGTGAGTGGTTGTGGTTTTAGGGTCCCCACGTCTAGTGATTTTCCATCATTAACTCTGGGTGGGGTAACATTCCCCATCCAGAACTGGTGCACAATCTCCTGGATTCATCACTCCTGTCAGCAGTGGCCAAGAGAATCTTCACAAAATTACATTTTGTACACCAGTTGTGCCTATCTGATCAGATCAGAGGCACTTTTCATGGTCAATCATGCCTTAATCACCACTAATGCAATGTGCTCCATATGGGACTGCCCTTGAAGAGCATTTGGAAGCTGCAGCTGGTCCAGAATGCAGCATGTGCAATATTGGGTGCACCATGATACACCAACGTAACACTGCTGCTATGTGAGCCGCACTGGCTCCCAGAGCTATTCCAGGTGCCGGTTGTCACCTTTAAAGCCCTACATGGCATGGGGGCGCATTACGTGCAAGATCGCTTCTCCCCAATGGTTTCTGCCTACCAGACTGGGCAATGTAGGAATGCCTCAGAGATTATTGGTGAAGCAGCATTACCTGATGGGCCCCAGAAAATGCACCTTCTGTCATGGCACCTGTCTTGTACAACAGTCTCTGCCCAGAAATATGGATAGCCCCAACTTGTTCCCTTTTGGAAGGGCGTGGAGTCCTGGCTCTTGCCCCAAGGACTGGGGCCAGGCTGCTAATGGAGCTCTGGCACAGGTCTGGCTTTTGTGTCATGGAGTCCTTGGTGCTCTCTGAGCTTGTTGTTTGCTTGCAGACATTTCATTACCCAACCAGGTAACATCATCAGTGCAAGTGAGTGTGGGGTTTGCTCCCTGTTTATATACTGTAGCTTGCCCTGCCTTGCCCTTTCTCCTTGGTAGCTCCTTGATTAAGTTATTGTTTTCTGCATGATTGTCTGTTGAAATAAATATAAGGTAAGACTGTCTCCTAATGTACCTTTGTGGTTATCACCTCAGGAAGCATTTACTAGAAGAGAAAATGT